GCGTCAGTCTTGCTAGTGTGTACGAAAGGATTTTCCAGTTTGGAAAAAGTTGGTACATCGCAATATTATTCTTAAACATAGATCAAGTTCTGAGATGGGCAATATTTTTTAATAACCCTGATACTTATAAAATGCGTATTGAGCATACGATTCTTTTCCATCTCGGGACATCCCATTTTTTTTCTATCAACACAAAATATTGTATGAAAACGGATTATATCGAACCATTTCTTCTGGTACCTCCTAAGTCTCATAAAATACATGAAATAAATATCCGATTATCTTCAAATTTTACACATTCCAATATACAATATCATATATACAATATGGATGATATATATATCACAATTTTCAATCATTAATGAATCTCTTCAAACTTGGTGTAGCTAAGTATTTATCGCAGCCCTAGGTCTGATCTGAATAATCATCAAAATACCGAATATAGGGAAGTACCAGGGGGTTATAAAACGTGGACCTGAACAGATAATTTTCTGGCATAGGCTGTAGTATCCATTACGAACTTCAAATACAAAACTTGAAATTATTCTGGTAAATAATGTCGCTAAAATCATCAAAGTACTGAATATCGGGGGTTCCGTTAAATGGGGGCTATACGAAGACGTGGACTGCACAAACAATTTTCTGTCATATGCTGTAGTATTCATTAGGAAATTCAAATACCAAATTTGAAATAGTTCCGGTAAATAAAATTGCTAAAATTATCAAAATACCGAATATCGGGGGTACCGTTATATGGGGGCTATACGAAGACGTGGACCTATATGACCTATTTTCTGTTTTGTGCTGAATGACAAACTTAATATACCCTCCATACTATATGGTGGACAGTATAAAAAACATTGTTTTGCATTGCCTTTTCCCCAAAGTGAATTTTATGGGATGTGAAATGAGCAATATGCCGAAATGTGCATTGCGAGTTATATTACGGAACCGATATCATACCATTCTTCCCAAGAGTTCTAATTTCATTTTTCAGTTAAATAAAAGGTCAGCATCAGCAACTATCTACACTTTTGATCCCAACTGTTTGGTATTTTCTCAAAGCAACATCAACCTTATGATTTCTATTTTATTTGCTGGGTATAACATTTGGTTATGGCTCCGTAAACATCACATTTCGGACCCCAACATCATTTGAGAGTTCATAGTGTATTTAATTCTGTAAAACTATGTGCAGGTATGTGTGTAGATATTTGTTTGGACGTTTTGTGATATTTTGCTGAAATATTTTTCTTTTAAATACCCTACATCTGTGGGTGATATTTAGCAGTGGTTTTCATATTCGAATAAGAGAAAATTTTCAAATATTGTATGGAGAGAAAATAACATTTTATCTCAACTATATGTTACAGAAGTCCAATATTTTACTTCTGAATGCCCATTATAACCAAAGAGGCATATTAGTTCCTTATACAGAAATCGATTCCCATTAAAAGATTCGGATTAATTCAAACATTATTTTTACAAAGCCCCAATGTTTCGAATGAAGGTCCAGATTAATTTTGCCAATTCGAATTAACAATAATTTGATCCTTAATGAAATGGCAAGATTATGCCTTTGTTTCTATTATTTGAGAAAAGAAAATATATCACTAAAAATTTGTTATTTTAAAACCTAGTTTTATAATCCGATTTTATCTAAAACAATTTAATTGTACACCCAGAGAAAAAATGACAACATCCGTGTATGAAATGACCACATCCGTGTATGATAGTGTATCAACCACGTTTGGTGTCAAAATGAGCACGCTGTTGTCATTTTGACACCGAGATTTTGGCAACGATTTCAACAACAGATGTGCATGAAATGAGCACATACGTGGTCATTTCGAGCACGCCCCGTTGTCAGATTGTCAACGCTTCGTTGTCAGATCGTCAACGCTTCGTTGTCAGATTGTCAACGCTCCGTTGTCGGATTGTCAACGCCCGTTGTCAGATTGAAATCAATGGTGGTCATTTTTTGATATCCGTTCCTTTTCCATTTTATACCCTTAGTAGAAGAAACGACATTTTTTGAAAAGTATTTTATTGAACGAAACCAATTACATAAATTCAATATAAATACATATTTGATTTAACAAAACAATTCGAATTACATATATTCAATGTATAGAAACAAATTAAATTAACTTAAATCTGAAATAAACTTTTCCATTATTCATAGGATATAAGTGAAATGGGTAAGTAATAAAATCTAAAATTGGTATTAAAAAAATTGTATCCTCATTCAGAGAACCAACTTCATACGATTGTAAATGGTAATCAAAGTTTTTAACTTTTACTTGGTTACATAAAATGTAAACATTTTCATTTTCAATTATTAAATGTTTAATTTTGAAAAGTTCAATTGCGGCATTATTTGTTGCTAAATAATAGTTTTTTTTATACCTAGTTCCCTTAAAAAAAATGTCATCAGACACTTTGCAATTTTGGTAATTTAAAACTGGCTTACTTTTTTTGTAACAATATTCCTCTTTTGCCAAATCTTCGATGGTATGCGTATTAATGATAACATTTGGTTCTAAGTTATCTTCGTGTTTTAATAAAAAATTGGAAAATTTCAATCCAGACTTAATAGATAATGAACGACAGGGATTTACTCTTGATGTAGTATTTCCTAAATAGGCTTTTGCTTCCTTGTGTTTAGCTTCGAATCTCATGCTCCAGAGATATTTAAGGGGACCACATTTTCGGATAGCTGTGGGATAGTGGACAAGAAAGTGGTGTTTCGGTTTTAACGAACCGTATAATGTTATATAAAGTGAATGGTGATCTCTAATTAATTCTTCCAATTTTATTAAATCGTCTTCTATATAACTTGGTCTTAAAAGTAAATCGATTATTTGTAATAATATTATAAAAACTTTCCAGTGATCGTTGGAGAAAGGAATTAAATCGCCTACCATTAAAGGTAAAAAATTAGTAAAACACATAGTTTCACTAGCTGTCATTTTTAAGTTATAGTTTTTCAATCTACATAAATCTAGTGGTCCAGATTTATTTCCCACTTCAATTTCTCCAAATTGGAATAAAGATTTTCTGCTGTTAATACAATCTAACGTAACAATATTTTCTTGAATCAGCCCGAGAATTACATTAGACATATCGTAGACACATATGCCCTCGAAAATGTCATGCATAATATCAAAACAAAAATTTTCAGTGACGTTAAAATTTGGTAAAGATTCGAAGATACACTTGTTTTTAATACCTGTTTCTTGAAAATTATTTTCCAATACATTTGAGTTGTAATTCTCTTGGTTTCTTAAACTATCTAAATGCTGAATTGCGTCGAATTGCATTTGGGACTTTTTCTTCTACATACCCGGCAAAATCTTTTAGAGTTAAATGATTGCACGTAGCCTAAAATACTATTAACTGCTAAATTATCTCCAATAATTACACCTAAAATAAAATGCACCTTCTGAACACTTTGTTGAACACAAATTTCAACCCCTTCTTCTAGAATTTTTAACTCTTCTACAAGATTGTGAAATGAAACTTCATTTCCACGTTCTTTTAAATCCTTTGATGGTATAAACGCAGCAGTTAATATATAATCAAGTTTTGACAACAAGTGCTGTGGCATTGAAGGAAAGCTAATATAACAACCACATATGGAAAATGTATGGGTTCCAAGAGGATTATTAATTTGAAAATCATCCATGTAAAGGACATAGGGAATAACTAAATTGTACTGATATTTTAATAATTTAGTTTTATATAACTCACCGTTTGTAAAATTTTGTAAAACAGGTGAATTTAGGAATTTTTTGGAGTTTTCTAATGTCAAATCTAAGAGATTTGGAATTTTAAAAAGGGCACTTATCATGAATTTCAGTGGCATTATATAAATATTGGATAACTTTGGACCTAAACTGGGATTTCCGCTGATAACAATTTCCGAGACTTGATTGCTAATTACATAAACCTTTGGATCATCATAAAAGTTTAGTTCTTTTAAAATTTTTAAAAGTCTATATTCCGTTCTAGTTTCTTCGAAAGGATTTTTACAAAAGTTTAGTAAGTACCTTAAGTCTTCATAATTTGGATGATCAGTTATATATTTTTCAATTGTACATGAAATGGATGAAAGCAGAATTGAAACAGAATGTTGTATTTCTATAACATGATTTCTAGGCATATAGCTTTGACCATGTAATTGTAAAGACAGATATAAGGTTTTCTTTTTCAAAACATTTAAATCCTTTTCTATTGTATTGTTGTTAATAACAGTTTCACTGTTTGTATAATCATTTTCTTTTGATGATGACATTTCAACTGGCACATTAATGGCTTTAACCATTGGTGGAGCTTTTGTGTGATTCTTGTGAAGTTTTTCTAAATGAATTCTGAATGACGTAAATTTTGTAAATGTTTGCTTACAGTTGTCCTGAACGCATTGTACTTTTAAAAATTTAGTGGACATTAAATGGTCTGTTTTCAAATGAGCTATTAAAAGATTTGCCTTATCAAAATGCTTACGGCAACGAAAGCAAATATACATTTTGAATTGTACTTTAATTATTGTTGCAGAAATTAATAAGTGAAGTCAAATTAACTGATTTTATATCATATACAGTATTAATTTCATAAAAATATTTTTGGATAAAAATCCATGGAATTTGGCAGGCATTGGATATTTTAAAGAAAGTGCATGAAAAATTTTAAAACATGTATCTAAACATTCGAGGAACGATTGAAATTTTAACAAATTGTGGTTAAAAAAAACATAAAAACCTTTTATATTGAAATCGGACAAACCCTCCACAATTATAAATGGCTGTATAGTTAATCCAGCATTGTAATACTTTTCAGTGACTGTATCAATTTGCCTTTTATAATCGTTAATTGTCGGTAGTCGCAGTACGAAACTTTCCTGCGAATCAGCTATTGTTACTTTTTTTCGTAATTTACCGTTTCCACATTTAAACCTAGCAGGTGATGGTAAAACTGAATTCAACAGTATTGCGTATATATAATCTTGAGCATCTGCAACCGAAATATAAAATAAATATTACTTTTAATGTTTATGATAAATCAGGAATTAAAATTTACCTATGCTGCTTGCCGTCAAAACATTTGCGAAGAGTTGTTTGCAATGTTCGTTATGAATATTTTTCCCATAATAATTGTAAATTTTTTTCTTAAATTGGTCCCATTTAGAAAGTAGAAGATTGCCTTTCTGTGGATACATAATATCGAAATCAATGTTGACCTAAAACGAAACATTAGTATCCATATACAAATAAATAGCTCATGGCTACTTACCAATTCTGAAGCTCTTGCATCGGACAACTTCGTCCATTCAAGGAGAAATGTATGGCTACTTAAATTTTTTATATCTCTTTGCCGTATGTTAAAAGATCTTTTCCATTTTTCGCAGATCGATCCCCAATCATTACATTCTCTTAGTAAGGAAGCTTTCAATGAATTTTCAACTGATTCATCAATTTCGGGAACATCTTTGTTACAAAAATTAGGAGATGTGTGAGTTGCTGCTTTGCTTGTGCTAGGCTCGGAAATCAAAAGCTTTATTCTTTTGGACTTCTTGTTTCTATACTTGGCATAAAGTTTTCCGCTTGCGTTGTTCTTTCCTTTTCTTGAAATGTAATAATAATCCTAAAAATAAAGACATATTATAAGTTAAGAAACTACATAATCAGATACGTTGTTTATATTGTTAATCTTACCCTCATTTCGTTTTCAAGAGGAAAAACGGAACAAATTTCATCCAATATGCGCATATAGTCTTGAGTGTAAAGAGTAACATTGTTGGTTAAAATATCTTCAATAATTATATTAATTATATCATCTCTTTGCTCGTCACTTAATTTCTTATTAACGCTACTACATTCAAGCGCTAGTTTCCCCTTCGAGGTATGTGTTAACAATTCCGTTAGATCCTATATTAAATAAAAAACTACATTAACTATGCTTACACAAATATTACTCTTACCTTACCTCTGACAAAATTCCTTTGGCTTTTGAGCAGTTCGAACCTGTAGTGTCGGGAGTACCAGGAGTACTTGCAGGTGTCTCGTTGCGTTTCCACCATTCACCTATTTTAGATGGAACTGACATAGTTTCGTCATCAATCCCGAGCTATTGTTATGACAATATTAATACTGAGTTCAACTCTGTAAAACAAATAATACGTACCTTTCGTTTTTTCCAAGCAAAGAGCTTTTCTCTGAATTCAACACGCAGTCCCAATGGTGGCACTGCTTCCTTTAAATCTTCTTTTTCAAGTACTGCAAGCTGCGAAATGTTACATGTGATGCTAAAAGAACAAAAAAGAAAATTCTTTGTTAATTACACTGATTAACTGAAAAATTCATTTTTATTTACTTACCTTTTAATTGTTCAAAAAGCGACTCCATATTTATTCCTTTTAAGAACTCCCTTAACATATAATCGTCCTCATTGTTTTCCGCATCTTGACTGCTGCAATGGTTTGTATCGCGAACCACAACAATATTGCCATCGATTTCTAACAACTCACCAATGATATTTTGAGGATCTTGCGAATTATTATTCATTTTCAATAAATTTTTTGCACAATGCGTCCTTTCTCTTTCAATAACACGGAAAAAATGGTAAATATGCAGCCGATTGCACACGAGTAAAAAAATGACAACGGTGGTGCATGATTCATACACGGTAGTTGCTAAAATGGCAACGATCGTGTACGATTCATGCACGTCGGTGTACAAAGTAACAACGGTGGTGCATCATTATGCAGGTGGTGGTGCATAATTCATACACGACCGGTGTCATATTGACAACGACCGTGTGTGAATCATGCACCACCGTTGTCATTTTTACTCGTGTGTAATCGGCTGCAATTACCAATATTACAAATGGACAAATTAAGCACGGCTGTTGTTGGTACCGAAAGTTGACCACGTCTCGGTGTCAATTTGAGCACGTTCGTGCACAATTCACCAACAGCCGTTGTTGAAAAATATAACAACGGGTCGTTGCGAAAATGACAACATACGTGCTTGATTTCGCAACGGGATTTTTCCCTCAGTGTACCAGGTATAATACGATCTAGACATATTGTAAGTCAAACTTTACCAGGCTTTATTGGTATTGTCGAAAAAAATCTAAAATTTAACTTTTTTAATATTTTTTAGAAAAGTTTCTAGTATTTTATAATTAAAACAATTTCTTTTTATACCCTCCACCATACATAGTATGGAGGGTATATTAAGTTCGTCATTCCGTTTGTAACTCATCGAAATAATCATTTTAGACCCAACAAAGTATATATATTCTTGATCAGCGTAAAATTCTAAGACGATTTAGCCCTGTCCGTCCATCTGTTATAATCACGCTACAGTCAAAACGAATTAAGATAGAAAGCTAAAATTTTGCACACATCCCTCTTTTGTTTGCTGGCAGGTCAAGTTCGAAGATGGGCTATATCGGTCCACGATATCGTATAGCCCTCATATAACGGTACCCCCCAATATCCGGTATTTTGATAATTTTAGATACATTTTCCAATGGAATAGTCTGAAAATCAACACAAGGGGTTCTCTATGAGCACTTTACTCCCTGAAAGAGAATTGTGTATATGGGTCCACGATATCGTATAGCCCCCGTATAACGGTACCCCCCAAAATCCGGTATTTGGATGATTTTAGCCACATTTTCCAATGGAAGAGTCTGAAAATCCACACGAGGAGTTCTCTATGAGCACTTTACTCCCTGAAAGAGAATTATCTAAATAGGTCCACGATATCGTATAGCCCCCATATAACGGTACCACCCAATATCCGGTATTTTGATGATTTTAGCCACATTTTCCAATGGGATTATCTGAAAATCCACACAAGGATTTCCTTGTGAGTACTTTACCCTAGACATAGATTTGTCTATATAGGTCCACAAAATCGTATATCCCCCATAAATCGGCACCTTCCAACATTAGGAATTTTAAAGATTTTAACAGAATTTTTAATGGTTTTTTTTATTTATTTATTTATTTATTAATTTTTTTTTTTTTTTTTTGAAATTGTACTAATTTTTTCTAAATGGCTCGGCCGAACTTACTGCTTTTTTACTTGATCTCTTTCTTTTCTATTGAAACAATTTCTCTACTTTCTTTAAAAAATGTTCTCAATTCTATTCTCAAGAATCAATGAAAATTGTCAGTATTTTGTACTGAGAATTTGTTGTTCAAAGCCACTGTAGCAGTAAACTGAATTTAGGGTATTTTGATGATTTTTTACCAATCGATTTCAATGTCCAAATAAAACTGGCTCCAATATTAACTTCCGATACTCTTATTTTTAAAGGCTTTATTTAAGCATTAAAAGTTCGTCCGTTTTTTTTTCTCCGCCATTGTATGGAGGGTACATTGACTTTGTCATTTCGTTTGAACGTCTTCGAAATACTCATGTCAGACGCAACAAAGTATATTCATTGTCGATCAGTAAAATTCTAAGATGTCCGTATAAATGTTGCTAAATATATCTTAAATTATTGGACCTATTTTTTATATGGTATAGGCAAGTTTGACATAGGAACCCGAAACTCTTTTGGGGTTTTGATCTATAAACCAAGTACTATCAAATTTACTTTGAATTGTCCATAATGTAGACTGCATATTACACATTGAAATTATTAGAACATTTGCAGCAAAGTCGGAAAAATGCTGAATTTGTCGAAATTAAAAAAAAAATTACTAGTAAGCAAAGGCTATAGTCGTGCAGGGCCGACCATGTGATATCCTATAACACTATAATATCTTGTTAGCCTCTATATGTCAAAATTCATTTTGGAATATTCCATTTTTGAAATAATGTCATATAGCCCTGCCCAGATGCTAATCTTATTTACGCACTCCGCCGAGTTGTTATACGTTCGAAATAAATTCACAAAAGTCATGTAGAGCGACTGCAAAATTAGGAAAATGTTATTTTTTGGTCCATTTGAACCCCTAAATTTACATCTCCATAACTGTAGGCTTTAATTCCGAACTTAACACTAGTGTTGGGGGTGTAGAAAAATTTTAGAAAATATACAATTCAAAATTGTAAATAATATTGAAAAAATCGCTTCCGCTAAAAATTTGTCGTGTATTTGTGAATTCGCCAGGGTTAAAAATATTAGCGGTTTAGTGGAAAATCTCGTAATTATACCCTACACCACATAGTGGTAAGGGTATTATGTCTTTGTGCATTTGTTTGTAACATGGAGAAGGAAGCGAGATAGACCCATAGTTACTTTTGAAGATCTCCATAGAATCACTTTCTGAGTTGATTTATGTATGTCAGTCCGTCTGTCCATGTATTCTTGTGAACAAAATGCAGGTCGCATTTATTATCCGATTGGGATGACATTTTCCACACAACATTTGTTTGGCATAAGGACGAACCCTATTGAAATTGGTGAGAATAATTGTGCACTAAATGCCCAATATCAGTCCAAATGACCTGAATTTTGGTACATCCGACCAAATTCTGTCTAGAAGAATTATATTAAATTTGTAGAAGTTCAGTTCAGATACAGCTATAGCACCCATATATATGTTTCATCTGAGTTAGTGTTTTAGTCCCTCACATTCGTAATATGCACTCCACAGGAATTATACTTGGTACCAGATATCAGATAAAGCAAAAAATTGTTGATTTTAATTTTATTAAAATCGGTTCAGATTTGGATATATCTCCCGTATATCTCTTAATCCGATTTCGGGTTAATTGCGCACCAAATGGCCAATATCAGCCCAAATGGCATGAATTTTGGCAAATCCGACCGCATTCAGCCTAGAAAAAAGTTCACCAATTTTAGTAAAAATCGGCTCAGATATAGCTATAACTGCCATATATATGTTCCATCCGATTTGTTATTTTTGTCCTCCGCAGCCGTAATATGTACTCTGCAACAACGATATTTGGGGAAATATAACTCAAAAATACTTTTTCTAAATTTTATTTTTATATATATAAATATAAATAACGGTTGTAGACTGTGGTTTGTTTGGACCAAATCCGTTTTCGAGTCGATCTAAGGGGGTCCGTCCATGCGTCAGTCTTGCTAGTGTGTACGAAAGGATTTTCCAGTTTGGAAAAAGTTGGTACATCGCAATATTATTCTTAAACATAGATCAAGTTCTGAGATGGGCAATATTTTTTAATAACCCTGATACTTATAAAATGCGTATTGAGCATACGATTCTTTTCCATCTCGGGACATCCCATTTTTTTTCTATCAACACAAAATATTGTATGAAAACGGATTATATCGAACCATTTCTTCTGGTACCTCCTAAGTCTCATAAAATACATGAAATAAATATCCGATTATCTTCAAATTTTACACATTCCAATATACAATATCATATATACAATATGGATGATATATATATCACAATTTTCAATCATTAATGAATCTCTTCAAACTTGGTGTAGCTAAGTATTTATCGCAGCCCTAGGTCTGATCTGAATAATCATCAAAATACCGAATATAGGGAAGTACCAGGGGGTTATAAAACGTGGACCTGAACAGATAATTTTCTGGCATAGGCTGTAGTATCCATTACGAACTTCAAATACAAAACTTGAAATTATTCTGGTAAATAATGTCGCTAAAATCATCAAAGTACTGAATATCGGGGGTTCCGTTAAATGGGGGCTATACGAAGACGTGGACTGCACAAACAATTTTCTGTCATATGCTGTAGTATTCATTAGGAAATTCAAATACCAAATTTGAAATAGTTCCGGTAAATAAAATTGCTAAAATTATCAAAATACCGAATATCGGGGGTACCGTTATATGGGGGCTATACGAAGACGTGGACCTATATGACCTATTTTCTGTTTTGTGCTGAATGACAAACTTAATATACCCTCCATACTATATGGTGGACAGTATAAAAAACATTGTTTTGCATTGCCTTTTCCCCAAAGTGAATTTTATGGGATGTGAAATGAGCAATATGCCGAAATGTGCATTGCGAGTTATATTACGGAACCGATATCATACCATTCTTCCCAAGAGTTCTAATTTCATTTTTCAGTTAAATAAAAGGTCAGCATCAGCAACTATCTACACTTTTGATCCCAACTGTTTGGTATTTTCTCAAAGCAACATCAACCTTATGATTTCTATTTTATTTGCTGGGTATAACATTTGGTTATGGCTCCGTAAACATCACATTTCGGACCCCAACATCATTTGAGAGTTCATAGTGTATTTAATTCTGTAAAACTATGTGCAGGTATGTGTGTAGATATTTGTTTGGACGTTTTGTGATATTTTGCTGAAATATTTTTCTTTTAAATACCCTACATCTGTGGGTGATATTTAGCAGTGGTTTTCATATTCGAATAAGAGAAAATTTTCAAATATTGTATGGAGAGAAAATAACATTTTATCTCAACTATATGTTACAGAAGTCCAATATTTTACTTCTGAATGCCCATTATAACCAAAGAGGCATATTAGTTCCTTATACAGAAATCGATTCCCATTAAAAGATTCGGATTAATTCAAACATTATTTTTACAAAGCCCCAATGTTTCGAATGAAGGTCCAGATTAATTTTGCCAATTCGAATTAACAATAATTTGATCCTTAATGAAATGGCAAGATTATGCCTTTGTTTCTATTATTTGAGAAAAGAAAATATATCACTAAAAATTTGTTATTTTAAAACCTAGTTTTATAATCCGATTTTATCTAAAACAATTTAATTGTACACCCAGAGAAAAAATGACAACATCCGTGTATGAAATGACCACATCCGTGTATGATAGTGTATCAACCACGTTTGGTGTCAAAATGAGCACGCTGTTGTCATTTTGACACCGAGATTTTGGCAACGATTTCAACAACAGATGTGCATGAAATGAGCACATACGTGGTCATTTCGAGCACGCCCCGTTGTCAGATTGTCAACGCTTCGTTGTCAGATCGTCAACGCTTCGTTGTCAGATTGTCAACGCTCCGTTGTCGGATTGTCAACGCCCGTTGTCAGATTGAAATCAATGGTGGTCATTTTTTGATATCCGTTCCTTTTCCATTTTATACCCTTAGTAGAAGAAACGACATTTTTTGAAAAGTATTTTATTGAACGAAACCAATTACATAAATTCAATATAAATACATATTTGATTTAACAAAACAATTCGAATTACATATATTCAATGTATAGAAACAAATTAAATTAACTTAAATCTGAAATAAACTTTTCCATTATTCATAGGATATAAGTGAAATGGGTAAGTAATAAAATCTAAAATTGGTATTAAAAAAATTGTATCCTCATTCAGAGAACCAACTTCATACGATTGTAAATGGTAATCAAAGTTTTTAACTTTTACTTGGTTACATAAAATGTAAACATTTTCATTTTCAATTATTAAATGTTTAATTTTGAAAAGTTCAATTGCGGCATTATTTGTTGCTAAATAATAGTTTTTTTTATACCTAGTTCCCTTAAAAAAAATGTCATCAGACACTTTGCAATTTTGGTAATTTAAAACTGGCTTACTTTTTTTGTAACAATATTCCTCTTTTGCCAAATCTTCGATGGTATGCGTATTAATGATAACATTTGGTTCTAAGTTATCTTCGTGTTTTAATAAAAAATTGGAAAATTTCAATCCAGACTTAATAGATAATGAACGACAGGGATTTACTCTTGATGTAGTATTTCCTAAATAGGCTTTTGCTTCCTTGTGTTTAGCTTCGAATCTCATGCTCCAGAGATATTTAAGGGGACCACATTTTCGGATAGCTGTGGGATAGTGGACAAGAAAGTGGTGTTTCGGTTTTAACGAACCGTATAATGTTATATAAAGTGAATGGTGATCTCTAATTAATTCTTCCAATTTTATTAAATCGTCTTCTATATAACTTGGTCTTAAAAGTAAATCGATTATTTGTAATAATATTATAAAAACTTTCCAGTGATCGTTGGAGAAAGGAATTAAATCGCCTACCATTAAAGGTAAAAAATTAGTAAAACACATAGTTTCACTAGCTGTCATTTTTAAGTTATAGTTTTTCAATCTACATAAATCTAGTGGTCCAGATTTATTTCCCACTTCAATTTCTCCAAATTGGAATAAAGATTTTCTGCTGTTAATACAATCTAACGTAACAATATTTTCTTGAATCAGCCCGAGAATTACATTAGACATATCGTAGACACATATGCCCTCGAAAATGTCATGCATAATATCAAAACAAAAATTTTCAGTGACGTTAAAATTTGGTAAAGATTCGAAGATACACTTGTTTTTAATACCTGTTTCTTGAAAATTATTTTCCAATACATTTGAGTTGTAATTCTCTTGGTTTCTTAAACTATCTAAATGCTGAATTGCGTCGAATTGCATTTGGGACTTTTTTCTTCTACATACCCGGCAAAATCTTTTAGAGTTAAATGATTGCACGTAGCCTAAAATACTATTAACTGCTAAATTATCTCCAATAATTACACCTAAAATAAAATGCACCTTCTGAACACTTTGTTGAACACAAATTTCAACCCCTTCTTCTAGAATTTTTAACTCTTCTACAAGATTGTGAAATGAAACTTCATTTCCACGTTCTTTTAAATCCTTTGATGGTATAAACGCAGCAGTTAATATATAATCAAGTTTTGACAACAAGTGCTGTGGCATTGAAGGAAAGCTAATATAACAACCACATATGGAAAATGTATGGGTTCCAAGAGGATTATTAATTTGAAAATCATCCATGTAAAGGACATAGGGAATAACTAAATTGTACTGATATTTTAATAATTTAGTTTTATATAACTCACCGTTTGTAAAATTTTGTAAAACAGGTGAATTTAGGAATTTTTTGGAGTTTTCTAATGTCAAATCTAAGAGATTTGGAATTTTAAAAAGGGCACTTATCATGAATTTCAGTGGCATTATATAAATATTGGATAACTTTGGACCTAAACTGGGATTTCCGCTGATAACAATTTCCGAGACTTGATTGCTAATTACATAAACCTTTGGATCATCATAAAAGTTTAGTTCTTTTAAAATTTTTAAAAGTCTATATTCCGTTCTAGTTTCTTCGAAAGGATTTTTACAAAAGTTTAGTAAGTACCTTAAGTCTTCATAATTTGGATGATCAGTTATATATTTTTCAATTGTACATGAAATGGATGAAAGCAGAATTGAAACAGAATGTTGTATTTCTATAACATGATTTCTAGGCATATAGCTTTGACCATGTAATTGTAAAGACAGATATAAGGTTTTCTTTTTCAAAACATTTAAATCCTTTTCTATTGTATTGTTGTTAATAACAGTTTCACTGTTTGTATAATCATTTTCTTTTGATGATGACATTTCAACTGGCACATTAATGGCTTTAACCATTGGTGGAGCTTTTGTGTGATTCTTGTGAAGTTTTTCTAAATGAATTCTGAATGACGTAAATTTTGTAAATGTTTGCTTACAGTTGTCCTGAACGCATTGTACTTTTAAAAATTTAGTGGACATTAAATGGTCTGTTTTCAAATGAGCTATTAAAAGATTTGCCTTATCAAAATGCTTACGGCAACGAAAGCAAATATACATTTTGAATTGTACTTTAATTATTGTTGCAGAAATTAATAAGTGAAGTCAAATTAACTGATTTTATATCATATACAGTATTAATTTCATAAAAATATTTTTGGATAAAAATCCATGGAATTTGGCAGGCATTTGGATATTTTAAAGAAAGTGCATGAAAAATTTTAAAACATGTATCTAAACATTCGAGGAACGATTGAAATTTTAACAAATTGTGGTTAAAAAAAACATAAAAACCTTTTATATTGAAATCGGACAAACCCTCCACAATTATAAATGGCTGTATAGTTAATCCAGCATTGTAATACTTTTCAGTGACTGTATCAATTTGCCTTTTATAATCGTTAATTGTCGGTAGTCGCAGTACGAAACTTTCCTGCGAATCAGCTATTGTTACTTTTTTTCGTAATTTACCGTTTCCACATTTAAACCTAGCAGGTGATGGTAAAACTGAATTCAACAGTATTGCGTATATATAATCTTGAGCATCTGCAACCGAAATATAAAATAAATATTACTTTTAATGTTTATGATAAATCAGGAATTAAAATTTACCTATGCTGCTTGCCGTCAAAACATTTGCGAAGAGTTGTTTGCAATGTTCGTTATGAATATTTTTCCCATAATAATTGTAAATTTTTTTCTTAAATTGGTCCCATTTAGAAAGTAGAAGATTGCCTTTCTGTGGATACATAATATCGAAATCAATGTTGACCTAAAACGAAACATTAGTATCCATATACAAATAAATAGCTCATGGCTACTTACCAATTCTGAAGCTCTTGCATCGGACAACTTCGTCCATTCAAGGAGAAATGTATGGCTACTTAAATTTTTTATATCTCTTTGCCGTATGTTAAAAGATCTTTTCCATTTTTCGCAGATCGATCCCCAATCATTACATTCTCTTAGTAAGGAAGCTTTCAATGAATTTTCAACTGATTCATCAATTTCGGGAACATCTTTGTTACAAAAATTAGGAGATGTGTGAGTTGCTGCTTTGCTTGTGCTAGGCTCGGAAATCAAAAGCTTTATTCTTTTGGACTTCTTGTTTCTATACTTGGCATAAAGTTTTCCGCTTGCGTTGTTCTTTCCTTTTCTTGAAATGTAATAATAATCCTAAAAATAAAGACATATTATAAGTTAAGAAACTACATAATCAGATACGTTGTTTATATTGTTAATCTTACCCTCATTTCGTTTTCAAGAGGAAAAACGGAACAAATTTCATCCAATATGCGCATATAGTCTTGAGTGTAAAGAGTAACATTGTTGGTTAAAATATCTTCAATAATTATATTAATTATATCATCTCTTTGCTCGTCACTTAATTTCTTATTAACGCTACTACATTCAAGCGCTAGTTTCCCCTTCGAGGTATGTGTTAACAATTCCGTTAGATCCTATATTAAATAAAAAAACTACATTAACTATGCTTACACAAATATTACTCTTACCTTACCTCTGACAAAATTCCTTTGGCTTTTGAGCAGTTCGAACCTGTAGTGTCGGGAGTACCAGGAGTACTTGCAGGTGTCTCGTTGCGTTTCCACCATTCACCTATTTTAGATGGAACTGACATAGTTTCGTCATCAATCCCGAGCTATTGTTATGACAATATTAATACTGAGTTCAACTCTGTAAAACAAATAATACGTACCTTTCGTTTTTTCCAAGCAAAGAGCTTTTCTCTGAATTCAACACGCAGTCCCAATGGTGGCACTGCTTCCTTTAAATCTTCTTTTTTCAAGTACTGCAAGCTGCGAAATGTTACATGTGATGCTAAAAGAACAAAAAAGAAAATTCTTTGTTAATTACACTGATTAACTGAAAAATTCATTTTTATTTACTTACCTTTTAATTGTTCAAAAAGCGACTCCATATTTATTCCTTTTAAGAACTCCCTTAACATATAATCGTCCTCATTGTTTTCCGCATCTTGACTGCTGCAATGGTTTGTATCGCGAACCACAACAATATTGCCATCGATTTCTAACAACTCACCAATGATATTTTGAGGATCTTGCGAATTATTATTCATTTTCAATAAATTTTTTGCACAATGCGTCCTTTCTCTTTCAATAACACGGAAAAAATGGTAAATATGCAGCCGATTGCACACGAGTAAAAAAAATGACAACGGTGGTGCATGATTCATACACGGTAGTTGCTAAAATGGCAACGATCGTGTACGATTCATGCACGTCGGTGTACAAAGTAACAACGGTGGTGCATCATTATGCAGGTGGTGGTGCATAATTCATACACGACCGGTGTCATATTGACAACGACCGTGTGTGAATCATGCACCACCGTTGTCATTTTTTACTCGTGTGTAATCGGCTGCAATTACCAATATTACAAATGGACAAATTAAGCACGGCTGTTGTTGGTACCGAAAGTTGACCACGTCTCGGTGTCAATTTGAGCACGTTCGTGCACAATTCACCAACAGCCGTTGTTGAAAAATATAACAACGGGTCGTTGCGAAAATGACAACATACGTGCTTGATTTCGCAACGGGATTTTTCCCTCAGTGTAGGGTATAAGCTGGTCAGTATTCAACCCATTTATAGACCTTAAGTTCGTTTTTTTTTCGTCATCCAATTTTTTTTATTTCATGTTACTCGTTTCCTTTCCTTTTTGTAAATTTGGTCAAAAGTATGTATGCATGGTTAAGCAAATAAAATATTCTCTGACCAAACACACACACAAAAAAAAACCGACGACGACAATTCATTTGAAAAAAGGAAATCCTTGATACCAAACAACAAAGCTCAGTGTTGAGAAGGAAATTTCGTAAAGCATTTTGACAACAATTTTTATTTCCTTTAAATGTAATTTTTTCTGATAATAAACAATTCGAGGGTCATAGTCATGAAAATTGAAAAAAAAAGAATGTAAGAAAATCAAACAAGCAACCAACACACGCGCAAACATATCGCCTCCTTCCAACCCCAAAAAACACATGCCCATAACTCCGGTCAAGTGGACAGACGCCGAACATTTTGGCATGGCCACTACGGGATGGGACAAATAGGCGAATATTTAAATGTGATTGCATGTGCAAACGTGCTGTGTGTGAGTGTGTGTGTAAACATGTCCATGTTTAAGCAAAAATCTCAAAGATATGTAATTTAAATCACAAATAATTGCAAAAAAAGAAATAAACATTTTTGACTTGACTTGACTAGGAGGTCATGCATAATTTATGAACAATAAACATTAAGAAATACTCGGAAATTTTTCAAAATATATGGTTGCATGAAGAAATTTATGTTTGTTGCTTTGTTTTAGCATTAGATCATTAGGCCATATTTAGAATTTGTGAAGGAAATTATATTCAGGCCAGATATCTCAAAATACAAATTACCTCAAAATTGTTACCATGAACCTCGATTTAAATAATTCAAATTATTATTTTACTTTTGTTTCGGGAAATATTAATTTTTATACCCTCCAACTTGGAAAGGAGGGTATATTAACTTTGTCATTCAGTTTGTAACATCCCTAAATATTCGTCGTAGACCCCATAATATATAATCAGCATAAAATACTAAGACGATTTAACGATATTCGTTTGACATTTAGCAGAATAATTTTTATTGTGTCCAGGATGGTTGGTATTGAAAATGAGATATATCGGTCCACGTTATAGCCCCCATATAACGGTACCTCCCGATATTCGACATTTTGATGATTTTAGCGACATTATTGTTTGTTTCAAATTTGATATTTGAAGTTCGAAAGGTATACTACAGCCTAAGACAGAAAACTGTCTGTGCAGGTCCACGTCTTCGTATAGCCCCCATAAAACGGTACCTCCCGATATTCGGTATTTTGATGATTTTAGCGACCTTATTTACTAGAATTGTTTCAAATTTGGTATTTGAAGTTCGAAATGGATACTACACTCTAAGACAGAAAATTGTCTGTGCGGGTCCACGTCTTCGTATAGCCCCCATATAAAGGTACCTCCCGATATTCGGTATTTTGATGATTTTAATTACAATACTCACCGAAATTGTTTAAGATGTCGTATTTAAAGTTCGTAATCGATGCTACAGCCTGTGACAGAAAATTGTCTGTGCAGGTCCAGGTCTTCGTATAGCTCCGATATAACTGTACATCCTATATGCTGTATTTTGATGAGTTTAGCCACATTATTCACCGTTTATTTCAAGTTTCGAATATAAATATGGTAATGGCTCATGACAACAATGCGTCGTGTATACCACAATATAATGGCTATATTCGGTATTTTTAAGATTTTAACAGAATTTTGTAACGATTGTTTTTTTTTTTTTTGAAAATTTCCAAATTCGTTCAAATGGTGGAGGGTATTTAAAGTTCTGCACGGCCGAGCTTGCGGCTTTTTAACTTCTTTTTTTCCGTATTTTTTATCGGATCAAATTTAGATATAGCTCCCATATATATCTTCATCCGATTTCGGGTTAAATGTGCACCAAATGTCCACTATCAGTCCAAATTACCTGAATTTTGGCACGCCCAACCGAGTTCGGCCCAGAAGCAAGTATATCAAATTTGGAGAAAATCGGTTCAGATATAGCTATAGCTCCCATATATATCTTTCATCCGATTTGATCTTTAAGTCCCTCACATTCCTACTATGCACTCCACAACCGTGATATTTGGTACCAGGTATTATATGGAGCACAGAAATAGCTGTTTTAAATTTTATCGAAATCGGTTCAGATTTGGATATAGCTCTCATATATATCTTCATCCGATTTTGGGTTAAATGTGCACCAAATGTCCACTATCAGTCCAAATTACCTGAATTTTGGCACACCCAACCGAGTTCGGCCTAGAAGCAAGTATATCAAATTTGGAGGAAATCGGTTCAGATATAGCTATAGCTCCCATATATATCTCTCATCCGATTTGATCTCTAAGTCCCTCACATTCCTACTATGCACTCCACAACCGTGATATTTGGTACCAGGTATTATATGGAGCACAGAAATAGCTGTTTTAAATTTTATCGAAATCGGTTCAGTTTTGGATATAGCTCCCATATATATCTTCATCCGATTTCGGGTTAATTGACCACCAAATGGCCAATATCAGCCCAAATGGCCCGAATTTTGGCACATGTGACCGAGATTAGCCTTAAAGCAAATACAACAAATTTGGAGAAAATCGGTTCAGAAACAACTATAGCTCCCATATATATCTTCATCCGATTTCGGTTTAATTGACCACCAAATGATCAATATCAGCCCAAATGGCCCGAGTTTTGACACATGTGACCGAGATTAGCCTTAAAGCAAATACAACAAATTTGGAGAAAATCGGTTCAGAAACAGCTATAGCTCACATATATATCTTTCATCCGATTTGGTGTTTAAGCCTCTCACATTCGTAATATGCACTCCACAAGAATGATATTTGGTACCAGATATATGATACAGCCCAGAAATAGCTGTTTGTAATTTTATCGAAATCGGTTCAGATTTGGATATAGCTCCCATATATATCTTCATCCGATTTCGGGTTAATTGTGCACCAAATGGCCGATATAAGTCCAAATGGACTGAATTTTAGTACATCGGAACAAATTCAGCCTAGAAGCAAGTATATCAAATTTAGTGAAAATCGGTTCAGATATAGATATAGCAACCATATATATGTTTCATCCGATTTAGAGTTTTAGTCCCATACATTCGATATTTGGTACCAGGCATTAGATGGAGCACAGGAATAGCTGTTTTAAATTTTATCAAAATGGGTTCAGATTTGGATATAGCTCTCACATATATCTTCATCCGATTTCGGGTTAAATGTGCACTAAATGGTCAATGTCAGCCCAAATCACCAGTCTAGAAGCTAATACGTAAAATTTGGAGAAACCCGGTTCAGAGATAGCTATAGTTCGTAAAATGCACGATAGAATTAGATAGATTTTGATTTTGTACCAAATATCTCATAGAGCTCTGAAATACCCTGTATAAACCTTCTTACGAGAGCTCTACTGAATATGCATAGTGGTGTAGGGTATCATATAGTCGGCCCCGCCCGACTTTTGAGCTTTCCTTACTGGTTTATGCTGATTTCGTTGACGAATGTAGCCGTATATCGTAGCCAAATATCGTGAGTCTAAATTTGGAGATATAGATGGACCTCTTGAATTTAGATATGATATTTTGGGGTTCAAATGAACCAAATACAGAAAAATTTGCCCGATCACACAATTGAAGTCAATCGACACGCCTGAGAAGATAGTTAAGAGCAGGGAAGATTTCTAGCATTTTGGATGACCATTGGATTATATTTAGCTATAAAATTGACCACAACAACTAACAGCACGACAGAGTGCGTAAATATTGGGCAAATGTCCCTGGTCAAAAAGCTAAGGGTAATATCTGGGCAGCGTTTCGAGACATAATTTCAAAAGCGAAATCTTCCATAAAGGGAATTCTAACATATTGTATTATTGTAGGGTATCACATGATGGGCCCCGTACAACTATTGCCTTCGCTTATTTGTTTTTTCTATGAATCACAAAAAAAAATATTTTTATAATTCAATTCCTTAGTATTTAACATCAATTGCTGAATAATTTTGCTCACCTTCTTTTATAGCTGCATGGACTTTGTTCGTGTGCCGATGTGATTGTGTGTTTTCCAAATGTGATGCCTTCAAGATTCCGTTTGATTGATGCCAACAAATCTTTAAAATTCATGCCAGCTATAGAATTGTCACGTCACTTAGGATGTTGCCAAACACGTATTTTATTATGTCGTACTGCAGAACTGCAACTGAATATTTCACCGTTGTTTACAGTGCTTGAATTATGCGGCTGTTAAGGAAGACAAATAAATGTTCGAATATGGTTTACATGGGTATACAAAGAATGAATTGTACCAATAATTGTATGTCTTATAGTAAAAATATAACGTCTTTTTAGTGATTTTTTTTATTTATAATTTGAATCACACGAACAATAAAATTCAAAGTGTTCCTATCACAACAAGTGCCAATGCCATATCTGTTGGATAAGACGTTATGATAATCAGGATGGTAGGAACATAGCATTAGCATAACTTGTCATAAAACTACCAAAACAGTATTTGAAGAGAATGACATCAAAAATAAAAATATTCGTTTTTAAAAAAAATTCGTACAAAAAAATAGTTAAAAAAATATTTGCGTAACTTTGCGAAAATGTTCACTCGGCGTTTCTTCTAGTAGACCCACAAAATAAGAAACATTCTACATACAATTTCACTATAGAGCTCAGAATAAATTTTATGTCTAGGCTTAATAGTTTCTAAGAAAATTGCATTGGAAGATTATATGCTAATTCTTATCGCAAAATTTAATACATTTTAATTTAAGTCAAAATCTTCCGTAAATCCTGGGAAATGTGTTAAAAGAAGAAATATTCCAAATCGAATATCGTTATTAGTCTCTGAACAAAAGAAGTTTGTATACTTAATATGTGTCATAAAAATGATGTTTGAAAAATGTAGTTATTCACTAATCATTGCTCTGTCTGGTT